GGGGGAAACGGGGGGGGGGGGGTTAGGGGGGGTTTTGGCGGTTTTTTGGGGTTTTTGAGGGAGGGAAGGGGGTTTTTAAAAGGCCCCCCGGGCCCCCCGTTAAAAACTGGGGTTTTTTTTTCCCCGGGAGTTTTTTTTTTTTTTTTTTGGGTTTTACAAAAAAAAAAGGCCCCCTTTTGCCCCTTGGGGGAAAAAGGGTTTTTTTTTGGGGGGGAAAGGGGGGGGGCAAAACCCCCCCCTTCTTTTTTTCCAAAAAATTCCTTCCCAAAGGGGTTTAAACCCCCCCCCCCCACATGCTCCTTTCCCCCTTTTTTTTTGTTTTTTTTCCATCCCTGCCACCCGCGGTTTTTTTTTTTTGGTCCCCCCCCCCCCCTCCCCCCCCCCCCTCGGTGTTTGCCGTCGGGATTGGGTTTTCGTCGCTTGGCAACGACGTTGTAAAACAAGCCAATTCACTTCGTGAACTCGGCAACCAGGTTACCGTTTTTTTTGTTTTACCTCTGTTTTTTTTTTTGCGGTAACCGTAATGGTGGTCGAGTAGATCATGTTGTGCGGGGTGGAGAACCCTCACTCCGCGCAAGGGGGATGATCGCACCACGTTGTGTTGAAATGGTCAAGCATCCCCGAGGCAGTTACACAGTGCTTACAACTGTCTCTGGAAGTGAAAGCACCAGAAAATAAATTAAGTCATACGCAGCTGTCATCCGTACGCAAGGAAGTAAGCACAAGATGCCGAGCACCCTTAGCAGGATGCAGCTCACCCTTCATGCGACTCGCCAAATACCTCACGGCGCTTCGCGCTTGGTGATGTGAGAGCCTGGTCCGGTGAGAACCCGGCGTGCTCCGTCCCGGCTTTGTAGGGATGCGAGGTCAATGGTCTAACGACTACGGCACGCACGACTATGAGTACACCCCCCCCTCCCCCCCCCCGCCATCCCCATCCCCGCCATCAGACGCGAACGGCTCTCCTGGGTTTCCTGCACAGCAAGGCATTCTTTGGCGAGCTGTCGAAGCTACTCGGCGGGGTGAGGCCCGGTTCTGGCATAGCGCTTTCGCCGCTAGTGATGGAGGCCATTTTCGGGCTTTTCACACAGGTGCGGGCATTCGCATTGCAGGATTTCGTTCAAATTGTTCCGTTCAGGCCTTGGTGACGGCCGTCGCTACTGATGGTGGTGGATGCTGCTGCAGCCACATCAGAGATTGGATGTCTTGTTGCTCGTGCCCGCGTGTTGGGGAGGGGGACAGGGCTCCCGTGGAGGGGGGGGGGGGGTTGACCATGCAGCAGTATGGCGAGCGCTCGGACACCGGCAGGGTCGTTGTGGAATTGCAATTTCTGTGTTACACCGTCATCTTCTCGGCGGGCTGCTCTCAATACGCACGGATAAATTCGTATGTAGTTACCGGTACACTTGTCCCGCTTCTCGCCGTGGGAAGGAACACCAGGCTCCACAAAATGCTACCAGCCATGGTGGAGGTGGGGGGTGGAGGGCGCTTCGGCACGACCGTGAACCTCAATTTTCCCCCGCACGTTACGCGCGTGAACATGAACATGAAAACGATCAAGCAGGTGGCGTGTTCATCGGAGGGGGCGGGGCATCTGCTAGACGCCGGCGTGGTGAAGAGGCTCTCGGAAAGCGAGAGCATGGCGAGGGCGAGCCAGATCGCGGGGCAGGCCTCGAATCTGGGCGCGCTGGGCGCCACCCGCGGCGATGTAAGAGGGCGCGCAAGCGTTGCTGGCAGGGTCCGGGTTGCAAGCAAGCAGAAAAGGAACGTAGCTTGGGAATGGTGTGGGTAGGTTTTCGTGGATCGCGAAATGGTTGTACCAGAGTGATTGTTTTTTCGTCGTAGTTGGTGCGCATCCTTTGTTGTTGTGATTCTCAGGGGTTTTGTGGCATGAGGAGGCCATCATCCCTCCGTTCCCCGGGAGACGTGCGTGTTGTTGCCGTGTCTTGTTTTACATCTTGCTTACCGGTCCTTAACATGCATGAGATCTCAGCCTGTCGTCACCTCTCGTGTTTTGTTCCTTGTCTCTTGTCTCTTCTTTTCTCCGCCAGTCCTCATCATTGCTGGTGCTGCTGCTCTTGTCGCTCATGTTGCTGGTACTATATCGCTTTCTTCATATCCACGTCATCCAAGAAGCGCATGCTTTCATCGTCCCTGCCGCTCCTACACGCCCCCCCCTACACCGTGCCGACGGCACTACAACAACAACACCGATAAGCGCTCATGTTTTTTCGGGTGTAGCACCTTTGTTAAAAACTACGATCCACATTATCCAATAATCGCATGCTCTCACCATCCCCGCCGCTCCTACACGCCCCCCCCCTACACCGTCCCGACGGCACTATCATGTCACACAACAGTCGACGGCAGTCTTCCAGCCGGACGGGCCCGAGTCCCTCCGGGTGCTGGTGGTCCCGTCGCTCCTGCTCCTCCAGGGGATGCTTTCCTCCCTGCCGGACAACGTGCTCTTGGCCGACCAGGCCGCGTCGCTGCTGTCCCGCCACGCCCAGCTGGTCAGGCACGTGCTGCTGTTCAAGGAGTCATCATTGGGCGCGCTCGACGCCATGTCGGCGGTGCTGGCCGTGCTGACCCACGTGTCCAAGCCGCCATTGCAGGTGTGGTGGTGTTGCGTGTGTTGGGCAGTCGTTTGCCGTACGAAGTCACCCCAACACGAATGGGAGTTGTTGGAGAATAATGCTGATAGATCTGTCGTTGGTTCTGTTGTTGCAGCGGTGCTTGCGTGTTTGTTTCTCAAGAAGTTATGGTTGGTCGCATTGTGTTCCTGTGTGTTTTGTTCGGCTTGCGTCGGCCACGCTGGCCGACTGACCAATGAAAAGACGTCGTCGGTGTCGGAGTGTTTTTGGTGATTTGCACTCGACTACTATATCCTGCCGCTCACACGAGCGCGTCGCACCAGACCCCCTACATGCAGCGTTTGCCTCTTGTTGGAGTAGATTCCGTGTATGTATCTGCTATCCGCTCATAGTCGTGAGTGTGGCGTGAAGATCGTGTCTGGAAAGTGTGGGTGTAGTGTTGGGTGTGTCAGTGGATGATGGGAGTAAGGTGTCGGCTGTTTCGACGTGTAGGGTGTTTGGTAGACCGTGCCCTGTGTGAAGCCGTGCTGTGGGGGGTGGAGGTGTTGAAAACTTGAGATGGCTGAGAGGACGATGTGGTGTTTCTCAGGTGCTGAAGGCTGAAATAGTCCATGGCGTCGTAGCTGATAGCGCCGTTTGGTACAAGGTGACGGTGACGAGTTGTTGAAAAGGTGGAGAAGGGCTGCACCAGTCTTCTCACCACCTTTTCCCACTACCAGGTAGTGGAGAACCCGTTGTGCGTTGATGAAGGACCTTGTCTACGTCCAGCCCATCCCTCCTTCCTGAGTGTCCGAAAACCTTTCGAGAAGACTTTTTTCTTTCGATTACTCACTCTGCTGTGATCCCCACCCACCCTACTACCACACATGCTTTCCTCCCCGTTTCCTGTTTCTCCAAGTAACTTCGGGTCGTTTTCCCTGTCTTACCCTTTCCTCGCTTTTCTTGCTACTACCACATACTTTCCTCCCCGTTTCCTGTCTTCTCTGTCTTCTCCTTTCCTCGCTTTTCTTACTACTACACCACACATTTTTCCCTCCCCGCTTCCTGTCTTCCCTGTCTTATCCTTTCCTCGCTTTTCTTACCTACTACCACACATGCTTCCCTCCCCGCTTCCTGTCCTCCCTGCCTGATCCTTTCCTCGCTTTTCTTACTACTACCACATTCGTTATTGGCATCTCGACAAAACGCCTTGTAGGGGGTGCTAGACCGCACTCCAGGCACAGACGTTGCTCGCGGTTGGCGCGATCTTGCTGAGCGAGCCCTGGTAGCGTTCGGCGGCAATCCTTTGCCTCAAGGCGCGGGGGTCGGCGGCGGCGGCGACGGCGGATGGTGGGAGGGGGTGCAGCCGCTGACGCATGGAGAGCGATCCATGGCAAACGTGAGTGTGTGGGTTTGTGCTTCTTTTTACCTTTTGTATGATGGTCTGGTCTAGTCTGTCTGTTGTTGTAACACGAGTGCTGTTTCGGTATGTCAGACTGGGAGAAGCACAGAACGCAACTGGCAGTCGGGGTCGTTTCGCCGTCGAAAACGTGTTGTGTGGGTTTTGTATGTTGAACGTGGCGTGTCGACGACATCGACCACAGGATGTCGTCCGAGGTCCGAGACCGAGCAGAGACCCTTGCCTTGCCTGGAGCGCGATGTTGACGACGGCCTATCCTTCAAACCTGACCTGTGCCCCCCCCCCCCGCGCACGCGCGCTTTGTGCTCCTTTCCCTCCATTGTTTCCCCCCCCCCTGCGTATTTATCCCTGTCCAATCCCCTACGCGCCGAACCAATCCAAAATTATGCCGTTTTTTTTGTTTTTTCGTGTGGGATATGTGTGTGTTTTCTCAGGAGCGTTGCCGAGCCCCCCCCGGGGGCCCGTCGGAGTGGAGCGCGTTCGACACCGCCAAGCTCGAGGCCAGCCAGAGGGCTCTCGCCCATGCGGTAGACGTGCTCAGGTGCCAGGCCGCCGCCGCAGCAGCAGCGGCAGCAGCGGCAGCGGCCGGCGGCACTCCCCCGGGCCCGCCGGTGGCGGTGGCGGTGTCCCGGCTCGCCGTTAGCCCCGAGGGGCTGTGCGTGGCGTTGAGAGCGTGCGTAGAGACCGGGGGTGGCGGCGGTGGGGTCGGGGGCGCCGCGGGCGGAGGGGGGCAAAGACTGGGCCTTGGGGTGGGGGGGGGTCATCGGGCTGACGCGTTGGGGGCGAGGGCTTCGAACGGGTGAGTCAAGCAACAAAAACGCGAGTTATTTTGTCTAGGGTCGAGATGGTTTCAGAAAAACGCGAATTGTTTTGTCTGGGGTCGCGATGGTTTCAGTCGTTGTTGTTGCCGGCATCGGGTGTTTCGTGGTGTACATATAATAGATAGCCGTTGTGTTGTGTTACGAAGGTGTCTGGCCGGTTCGGACTCCAGCCGTCTTTCTGGGCTTGTGAACGGTCAACTGGATGCGTTTCTACATAGGTCCGCGCGACGATGGTGGCATTGCGTGTGTGCTTGCCACCGCCGCTGCTGCTGCTCCCCAGCAACCGCAAAAAGGGGCAGTTTGTTGGCGGTTCTCTATCCGATTCAGCATGTTTTTGCGGATCCCGATCCAGTGACGGGTTGTCGTGCCCTCAGATAACGGCGGCGACCACAGCACCACATCGCGTACGGTTATTATCGCCCTACCATGCCACGCCACGCCACACGTTAACAACGTGCAAAACGTCCGTCCCTTCGTCCCTTCCATCTGGTTTCGTCGTGGTGTCCTTTAAATTATTACAACCAACACCAACGTTTAACGTTTTTGGTCGATCTCCCAGTGCGGCGGGTTGTAGCGGGAACGCGCGTCTCTTGAGGGGCCTGCCGTATGTGGTGGAAGGTCTGCTGGCGGCGCTGCTGGTGCTCGTGGACGCCGGTTCCGAAGAGGGGAGAAGCCAGCTGGCGGCCTACCGGGTGAGTCATGACTTAGGAGTCATGCCAGGAACGTAAAAGAAAGAGCATAAGAGCGAGAGAGAGAGACAGAGAGAGAGAGAGAGAGCGATGTAGTCTATTACTCCGTCAATAGGCACAATTTCGATGTAGTCTATGTGTGATAGGCTTCTTGTTTTGTCTCTTGTTTTGTTTGCTGGGCAGTTATTGTAGTGCAACCGAGTCGACAGTACTCTCTGTTATCCGAGTTTGTTTTTTTTTCTCTGCGTGTGTGCGTGTGTTGCTTTTTTTCGTTTGTGCCATCATTCCTGTTGCCTTTGTGTTTAACATGGACCCCGCTGACCGGCTGAGCGACCGGCTGAGCAACGAAGATGTAGGTTTGTATCAGCATCAGAGTGATGGTAGCTCTTGATTCGTGTGTTTTGGGGGAGGAGGGGGTGTTCCAGTAGAGCTGGGGGCAAGGGAGAGGCGGTACGTCGATGTGTCTGCAATAGCAACGCTACCGCTGGGTGCCACACCCGCACGTTTTGTGCAGTGTTTCGACGTAGACCTCTGGTTTGTTTTGCAGTTCGTAAAGAACACGGCGGTGCTTTTGCGATCGTCACGGACCCCTTAACAAGGCCTGATATTTGGGAGCGTGGAAGAGAACGGGAGGGAGCATCTTGTCATGGGTGCCACCGCTCTTCTCCGTATGCACATGACTTTGCAATCTATGACACCCCCCCCCCCCCCTCCGAAGTCTTCTGTGTTATTTTCTGTCCAACTCTCTGATCCCCTTCTCTCGTTCCCCCCCTTTCCCTGTTGTCCCGAAAAAACCCCGACCACCCCCAAAAACTGGTCGGGCCCGGCGCGATCGACGCGAACCAACGAACGTTGGGTCGACAACCGAGCAGAAAGGGCTCGTGCCGACTCTCACGGAGCTGCTGCAGGACACCTCCAGGGACCCCTTCGTGCTGCGGTCGGCGCGGACGCTGATTGGTCGGGTGTCCGCGCGGGAGAGCTTGGTCGCATCTGGCTCGATGGACGTGGCTTGAGAACAGCAACAAACAGCGCTACGATAGCACGGTTCCACGGCAGTTTTTAAAGACACACGCGCTTGATATTCCCATGAGGCAACCGAACACGGCAGGGGCGATCGCAAGGAGATTTTTAGGTGTAGGGCTTGGTTCGGTTGGGGTCACCGATGGAAGTTTTGTGTTGGGGGGAGGCGGAGAATTCTTCGAAGAGCGAGCGGCCTTTCATCCCCCATGTCTCGCGGCGGATGACTTTAGTGAAACGGCGACTTTTTCTCTCGTGTGTTTGTGGGGATGGACTACCGCGGTGGAGCGGTCGTTGTTCGGAATGGCGTTGGCGTTTTTTCTTTGTTTTGGTCGTTTTTATTATTTCGTTGTCTTGTGACTCTCATGTGTTGGGTGGGTACACGTACTTGCTGCGCGTTTGTTCTAGCGTTCCCAGGTGTGGTGGACTTGTTTTCCGTCTCTCTGCAAGAGAACGGGTGTCGGAGCTCGGCCCCATGAAAGTAGTCTGGTTGTTTCACGATTGTGTTCGGGCTCTTCTACCCAAAAACAAGACAAGCGCGACAGCGCGAATGCAGAGAAGGGGTAGAAACTGACGCAACTTAGAGTAAGGTGGGCAGGGCTCCATTACGCTCGCTCTCGTAATATACATACTATACTATACCTTTTTTTGACGTGCCTTATTTTTGGGATGGCTCGCTCCTGGCACTAATGTAGCTGTGTTCCTTCTGAACCCTGGGATTGGATTGATTACTGTAACTGGAGGTGTGGGTTTGTACGGGCGACAGGAGGTAGGCGTGGCTTTTTGTTTGCCTCTGGTTGGTTTGAGTTGATTGCGACTGAGACGGCTCGCGACGCCGCCGCGTTGTTTCTGTTGGCAGGAAAGCTTCAGGCGCACCTTGTTTACCAAGATTAAGATTTTTGACGGCGACTGACTGCGTTGAGAGATGGACAACGCCTGCTTGCATTCTCTTTTGAGACCCCACCGTCCAGGAAACGAGACAAGGGAGATGTAGCAAACGTCACCGTATCTATAGGAGTTCACAAGAAACGCGAAAACCATGGCGTGACATGCATGCGAGAACCTCCGCCCAAATCGATACCGACACCCACGCAACATCTCTTGGTGCGAGTATAGGCTCTGTGCGCGCAAGAGGGCATTGCATATATGTTGAACCCGCTGCACACACGTTACGCTGCCTTCAATATCGAGTCATTTCCCTCTCCCCGCACGAGTTGGCTCGTGGTGAGACAGGTGCAAAAACCGATGCACAAGAACGCTCAACAAGTCGGCTCTCTTGAAGAGATGCAGCCAGCGTAGGTGGTAGACCAAGGCGTCCTCAGCGTAGTAGGTGGAGATGGCAAGAACACATCGATTGGTAACGTGTAAGCGGCTTAAGACAAGACGGCAGCCAGTCATGCATTCCCTCATTCACGCGTGTGCTGCCTAGCCCTGCCTCCCTTTTCTGTTGCTTTGTCCACATGAAAAAATCGATTCTAAGGACCTCCGCCCAGCAACCCACTGTTCCATACGCTTGCGGCTCCCAGAGGCATCTAGTCTATGTAGGCACGCATACACGCAAGCCAGCATGCAAACAGGCAGACGGAATGAGCATGGAGGTTGGTAGCTTGTCCAACGGCTTATGATGGGACCACTGGCTGCCGGACGGCAGTCCTTACTGTTTAAGGTCCAAGGGGCCTCTACTGTAGTAGTCTAGGCAAACATACACACAAGCAAGCAGGGCGCTAAACTCCTGGCGCTACCGCGACGAAACCCCCTACTGCTGCGTGGAGAAGCGAACGACCTCTTGAGGCGAAGAATCAGCAGGCCGGCCAGCCTGATGGAAGGACGACCGTCCTTGCGGTACATAGAGTGTCGGTTACATACCGCTTCAGGCCTGGTCCTGCCACTGATCGGAGGACGACCAAAGTGCGGTACGTAAGCTGTAGTATGGTACAACCACTTTAGGCCTGCTCCTGCCACTGATGGGAGGACGACCAAACGCGCTTTAGGCCTGCTCCTGCCCCAGACGGTGCCCCGAAACGCTTCCCCCGAGACGCATCTCGGCCTCCCGCCTGGACTTCCGGTCGGGGTCTTCCAAGTCCCCGGTACCGACGCCGACGCCGACACCGCCGCCGTCCACCTCCATCGAGAGCGGAGAAGGGGGGGTGCCGTGTCCCCCGCCCCCCGGGGTGAGGATGGTGAGGCGGTCGCCCGCGTTGACCTTGACGGTGTTCTTGCCGCCCAGGCTGACCGAACGCCCGCTGTTGCCTCCGCCACCGCCGCGGAAACGCAGGAAGTTGAGCTGGTGTTTTTGCGCGTTTTTGATGGGGGGAGAGCAGCGTGGGGGGGGGGGGAAGGGCACGAGCGTAGAGGGAGGCAGGCGGCGGTGGAGAGATGAGAGAAAGGGGTAGAGATTGCGGTCGAGGCCAAGGTGGATGAGAGGCCTGCCGTTGCACAAACGGCGTGCAATGTTTGTATATGTTTTACACCAGGTTCAGTGAGCGACGACGGCAGCACCACCGAACAAACCAAGTGTTTCGCTTTGGAGAGAAAAATCGTACTTCCACGAAAAAGCTAGAGGGGGAATGGAAGCGAACAGAAAGACGGGAGAGGCTAACGCTAACACGCAAGGTGAGTGACGGACCAAAGCGACGGGTGTGTGTGGGTGGGTGGAGAATAAAGTACCCTCCTCACAACAGTTGGTTCTTATCTGAAACACCACGTGCTACGTGACATCTACTCCAGACAGCTTCACCCACAAACAAAAGGACCACACTACCAAAACTACCCTGAATCGGACAATCCCTAGGCCAACCTACCACGCAAGGCTTGCCAAACCCTTGTCACAAACAAACGTCTCCAAGAAGCATGCTTTGTTCTAAGCATTCTAATGGACTCACCCCCCGCTCCGCCGGCTGCCCTCCCGCCAACCCCCACGGACGGAAAGAGCGCCTCTCCGACAACACGCTGACGGTGAGCGGCTTCCGGATGGTCATCGAGCGGGAGACGCCATCGCCGCCGCGCCTGGCGCCGCCGCCGCCGGAGCCTCGCCGCAGGCCGAAAGAGTTGAGGATTACCGGGTACCTGGTTGTTGGAAAAGGGGGATGAATGAACCCCCCGGGAGGTTAAGCGCTATGTTTTTGTCGAACTCCAGTTGATTTTGCGCACACGCGCTACCGAGGAATAGATGGCTGCAGAGCTAAACAAGTGTCTTGGAGGGAGGGAGGGAGGGAGGGAGGGTATACATGGCCACGCTGATTAGAGACCACGCCGCTGGAGGCCGAACGTGTACGGATTTTCGATGAAACGTAAGCGCGGGGAGGCTCCAAAACTTGGCACACACACCCCAGCCGCCGCCCGCACGTGCGTGCAGGGCTCAACAACAACAAAACCCATCAGCATACATACTGTAGTTGCGTTGCATATCACGTGTAAACCAACAGCACACATGACTCGGGGCACGGACACGTGTCGCTCGATACAGACAGGTGTGAACATGTGTAGAAATCTACATAGCTACAGCATAAGCCCACCTCCGTTCCAGTATCTCTGGGTCAGTGATGCGAGTGTTGGTCATGTGGGTGTGTACTCCACTGCACCCGGACCAGGTTGGGCCTGCGCCCGCCCCACCCGCGATGGTTTCGTAATACCTGACGTGCCATACGCCAAAATCAAAGGGGGAAATGGGGGGTGGTCAGAAAAATGAGACTGCGGGGGGCAACGTATACAGACTAGACACGCATACGGGTCCAATGACCAAAACTCACGAGAGAGAAAAAAAAGACAACACCACACCCAAAAATGCGCGTCACTCAGTACACCAACAACGACCCCGACGCCAGGAAAATACTGGCCCAGACCTTCTCCTCCACGCCATACTCAACCCCTCCCCCCGCTCTCCGAAAACTGCCTAAATACCGTTAGGGTGCGAGAGAACGCACGGGGGGGGGGGGTGCGATCGATTTGAACTGATTTTGTTCTGACTTTTTATCGCACGGGGGTGCGGTACGTGCGACATCACGGAGAACCGTGCGTTCTCTGGCATCCTTGCGGTATCTCTAGCTATGCAGCGCTTCGCTGCTCACCCCATGGCCTCGTCCCCGAAGGTGAGGTTGTTCATGCATCCCTGGCTGGCCGCGCACGCCCGGAAGCACTTGAGGATCACGTCGGTGACGCGCTGGGAGGTGAGCACGTTGCCGCCCACCACCGCTGCCGTCGGAGAAGGGTTCAGGAGACACCCCTCCGGGATGCGGATCTCGACGGGCGCAAGGCATCCCTGTGCGTCGTATAGGGAAAAAAAACAAGCAAGCACGGAGAGGGGGGGCGGGCGGACGCGATAAGCCGACTGCTGCTGCTGCTGCTGGTGTGGAGAGATGGTGAGGAAATTTAAGGGTGGGGTGCCGGCTACGCCCGTACCCACTATCGCCGCCGCCGCTGGAGGGTGTTACCTACGCGGCAAAGAATATGGTTTCGTTACCCACAAGAGGCATATTAAAAAAAGCCATGGAGACGACGTTGCTAGCCTTGCTTGGTCGTATATCTCCCCGGCTGAAGAAGACAACAGGGAAGGAAAAGCGACCGAGGCACCACCAAACCAGAAACAACTAAA